ATTCGCGCTCCGCAGGCCAAGCGGTGCTGAGCTTGCAGCTGATCCGATTTGTGTACACTAATGTGGGCCAGCCATTCACCACCGCTCCCTTCCCAAGCGCTCGGTGTTTCACTTAGGGACCGTCAACAAATTTCCGAACCAAACAGTGCTGACATAAAAATATTAATAAATGTTTTTCCTTGTGACCAACTGACATATAAAGTGCTAATTTATGCTTTTACATTACATAAATTACATTTTATTTAATTTTAAAGCTATAATCAATATTTAAACAATTTAAATATTAAATGATAAAATCTTTTCTTCAATAGCTCCCAGGTCATTTAATTTATTTTATTTATTTATTTAAATAGGGACAAAGCACATTAATGAACATCAGTATAAAAACAAATGTAAATATGCCGGATTATAGCTACAAAGCTAGTTTTCATCCATAGTCCGTTGGCACGCAAATACATAAGAAAGAACATATAACATACAATACAAGCATCACAAGGAAATGTTAAGAGTTTAGTGGTCGCATGACTGGTTTGTTTTCATCTGTAGTTTGAGTTGAGCCCTAAAGCTGATCAGTGTAGGGCTCTCCCGTATGTGCAGAGGAAGACTGTTCCAGATGTTAGTGGCTCTCACAGAGAGAGTGTTCTGACCAAAAGTTGTTCTTCTGTGAGGGACCTCACAGTCTCCTCTGGAGGAGGCCCTGGTTCTGAGGCCACTTGAAGTCTTGTGTTTGAACAGAGTAGACGCAGGAGGTGGGGCTAGTCCATGCAGCGCTTTATAAATGAAGCATACATACTTAAAATTTATAAAATTTTCAAAATTTAAAAGATTGTACTTGTTTAAAATATTACATACATGGAAAGAATTGGGTTTTTGGTCAAACACTTTTAGAGATTTTTTCTTACAGTGATTCAATTAATTTTAAATTGGTAACTGTGGTGAGAGACCAACTTGTCATGCAGTATTCAAGGTGAGATAAAATCATTGAGTGGAGAACAATTCTAGCAGCACCAAGTGTTAAAAAAGACCTGATTTGTTTAAAATTTTTAAGGCTAAATTTGACAGTATTGGCAAGTTGTTTTATATGATTTTTAAAGGACAAAGTAGAATCAAGTATCACACCAAGGTACTTGAATTCTGTGACAAGTTGTAATTCTTCTCCTCTCAAGAATACTTCGGAGCTTTTTATTTCTTTTGATTGCTTTGAGAACATCAAACAGACCGTTTTTTTGAAATTGAGAAGCAAACATGATTTAAAAAGCCAGTCATTTACTTGCTCCATGGCTGAGGTCAGAATAGAAGCTGCCTCTTTAACACTCCTTGCATGAGTATAAATCACAGCGTCATTTGCATACATTTGAAAATTCACATTATTACATGTTTTGGGAAGATCATTTATGTACAGGGAGAATAACAGGGGACCAAGTATTGATCCTTGCCGCACACCGACAGAGACATCCAAGACCGATGATTTTATACTGTCAATTTTTACACATTGTTTTCTTGAGGATAGGTATGATTTAAGCCACTGAATTGCCTCTGGCGAGAAATTGAAGTCTGACAATTTTGTTAGAAGAATTTCATGGTTGACAGTGTCGAAAGCCTTTTTAAGGTCAAAGAACACTGCACCAACACAGGGGTATATATATCCAATTGACTTTTCACCTTTTCTATAAAAAAGCTGTTTGCTGATTCAGTGGAGTGGTTTGCTCTGAAGCCAAATTGCATTGCATGTAGGTTAAAGGGACTATTATTTAAATGTTCATTTATAATATTTGCTACCCATCTCTCAACAACCTTGGAAACAACTGGAAGTATACAGATCGGTCGATAATTGGATATATTTGAGCTGTCACCAGATTTAAAGATTGGGGTGACTGTGGCCAGATGGGACAATTCTCTGTTTAAGTGATAAATTAACCATGTGAGTTATTGGAGTAATAAGGGACTCTTTGCATAATTTTAGGAGATAAGTGTCTAGTCTATGTATGTCTTTAGCTTTCAAATTTTTTTGTGAACTAATCATTTTGTAAACTTCTGGCCCTGTTATTTCGCGTAAATTAAAAACAGGCTGTGTGAGATCAATGGACCTTGGTTTAAGATCAGGAGATGGAAATAATTTGCTTATTTCTCTCACAGAATTTAGAAAATAATTGTTAAATTTATTTGTCAATAGATCTGGATCAGTCACAGCAATATTGTTAATTTTTAACTCAATTTCTTGTTTTTCTGTTTTATCCTTCCCTTTCATGAAAAAAGTTGCTTTAACCTTTCGCATAATTTGATTAACCTTATTTCTTAGTGAGGTAAATTTATGCCTGTCTGTGATGAGATGGGATTTCATATATTTTTTTAGTTGCTCATCTCTGTCTTTCATCCATCTCTTACATTCTTCATTCATTCATGGTAATAGATTTCTCTTTCTTTTATTGTGGCTTCCCCTTTTGGTAAAGTTTAACATTACTTCATTAATTTTCTTGTGAAATAGACAGCTGCTATTTTCAACATCTTTACTTTGAGTGATTTCCTTCCAATCACAGCTTTGCAGAGCTTCCACTAGATTTGGTCATGTGACCTGTTGACCCCAAATCACTTTGAAATTGTTTCCTAGTTTGAAATTGTTCCGCTAGTCTGAGTCAAAAGGGCACACTTATTTCTTTTTCATTTAACCATTTTTTTTTTTTTTTTTTTTTTATTAAATGTGGGACTTTACTTCCATAGATTACAAGTTATGTCACCTATGCATTTGCAGCTAGTTGCAGCTTTGGCTATCTTGCCTCTTTTAAAGTATTTTGCTGGTCTGAATCTCTGTTCTTTTTTATGGTGTGTCACTAAACCAAGACGTTTTACAGTAAAATAGATTTCCCTGTCATCTGATTTTGGGATGTTTTTGTAAATGTATAAATTGCATTGCATCCATTAAAAATGAATTTCGCACAAGCCAAAAACAATGGACACCTTTTTTTAATGGCTGCTGCTAAGTTTCACATGCTGATATTTAAAAGAAAGTGTACAACATGGATTTATCTTGTTGAATTTATCATACATCAGTCCAAGGGTGACCTAATTGACTGTGGCGATCTTTGGGTTAGATTTTTTTCCACTCTTTCCTTTTTATCTTTATTTTAAACTTCATAGGGCCTGCCTTGCATCGTCTGTAATCACTTTTGCTGTGTTTATGTTGTTCTTTTCTGTCCATTGTCTTTGTTGGATTTCTCTTACATTTAGCATCATTTCCATCATGTGTTCTGTCCTTTGTTCTTTCCTCTGTCTGTTCGTCATTTTGGTCATCAGTCCTTTTGTCCTCTGCTCTTTCCTCATTTTGATTCTCTGCTCTTTCCTCAGGAGGAACCCCAAGGCGTTCCCAGGCCAGCCGAGAACATAGTCTCTCCAGCGTATCCTGGATCTTCCCCGGGGCCTCCCCCCGGTGGGACCTGCCCGGAACACCTCACCAGGGAAGTGTCCAGCAGGCATCCTAAACAGATGCCCACGCCACCTCAACTGGCTCCTCTCGACGTGGAGGAGCAGCGGCTCTACTCCGAGTCCCTCCCTGATGACCGAGCTTCTCACCCTATCTCTAAGGAAGAGCCCAGCCACCCTACGGAGGAAACCCATTTCGGCCGCTTGTGTCCGCAATCTCGTTCTTTCGGTCATGACCCAGAGTTCATGACCATAGATGAGGGTAGGAACTAGATCGACAGGTAAATCGAGAGCTTCGCTTTTTGAATCAGCTATCTCTTCACCACAACGGACCGGTACAGCGCCCGCTTCATGGCAGGCGCTGCGCCAATCCGCCTGTCGATCTCCCGCTCCCTTCTTCCCTCATTCGTGAACAAGATCCCGAGATACTTATACTCCTCCACTTGGGGCAGGACACCCCCCCTGACCCGGAGAAGGCACTCTACCCTTTTCCGGCTCAAGACCATGGCCTCGGATTTGGAGGCACTGATCCCCATCCCGGCTGCTTCACACTCGGCTGTGAACTGATCCAGCGAGAGCTGCAGATCACGACCTGATGAAGCCAATCTCTGCAAAAAGCAGAGACGCAATCCTAAGGCCACCAAAACGGATCCCCTCAATACCTTGGCTGTGCCTAGAAATTCTGTCCATGATGGTAATGAACAGAATCGGTGAGAAAGGGCAGCCCTGGCGGAGTCCAACCCTCACCGGAAACGAGCCCGACTTACTGCCGGCAATGTGGACCATACTCTGACACCGATCATACAGGGACCTGACAGCCCGTATCAAAGGGCCCGGCACCTTGTACTCCCGGAGAACCCCCCACAGGGCCCCCCGAGGGACACGGTCAAACGCCTTCTCCAAATCCACAAAGCACATTTAGACTGGTTGGGCGAACTCCCATGCACCCTCCAGGACCCTGCTGAGCTTGTAGAGCTGGTCCAGCGTTCCACGACCAGGACGGAAACCACACTGCTCTTCCTGAATCCGAGGTTCAGGCACAGCCAAGGCGTTGAGGGGATCTGTCTTGGTGGCTTTAGGATTGCATCTCTGTTATTCGCAGATGGATGGATGGTTAAGTTTTTGCTGTAATTAAAGTTTGAGAGTTTCATATTTTTATGTTGTATATAGAAGTTTGGTCTTTGTGTTGTAGTTTTTGTTTTTAGGTAAATGTATGAAATGTTCCCTGATCAACCAGTATCAATATGTAGTATGTTACATTTTGAGACACAATATGTTCCCCTTGTGTCTCAGTTTTTCAGGTATATTAATACTTCAGTTGCTTATTTTAAGCTAAAACTGTAAAATTTGTGGGTGAAACGATCATCTAGAAACATTATCTACGTTCTTTATCTCCTGAGCTTCAGGTGTGGATCCAACAGCATGAAGCCGCTGAGATGGCAGAAGAAAAAACTAAACAACCCCTAAAGAGTGAAACGGTGAAAGTCTGCGGCGGAGTGAAAACTTTGGGCGTGACCCTGCGTTTTAAATACTATCTTGATCATAAGTTCTAACTTCATATGTTTTCTAAAGGAGCAACAGAATAAAACTGGAAGATTTGTTTTATTTGTCATATGCCACATATCCACATTATAAACAACTGTAGTTATTCCAGGTGTGAAAACTAATTAATGCTAATTAGCATCAGATTTACAGCAAAAACAAGTTTTTATAGAAACAACAATCCAGGCCATTGCAACATTCAGATTTATTCCATATATACTTTGAATAAGTCCAAAAGAGTAAAAATATGATTTTTCAATCGTCCAGGAGCCTCGCCTGGTTTTCCTTGGAACCATCTTTGGTTTTTCCCATCAGCCTCTCTGTCTAACATCTACTAAGGTCCAGGGATTTCTTTCCTAAATCCAAGTCCAAAATCCAGCTTTCTTCAAATGACTGTTACGGAAGCAAAGAGCAATAACTGGGTTCATAAGATGAGTCTCTGTCCCAGGATCTTGCGGTTGATCTCAGCTAAGGCCACGGAGAAGACGAAGGCCTTCTCATCAGACAGGCTGGCGTATATGTCCACCTCCTTTTCTTGTTTTTCTGCAAATAAAAACCAGAAACCTTTCAGGAATTTTCCCTCTATGACCAGTCATCTCATTTCTGAACTTTCCCAGGAATAGAATCTTTCCCGGTTCTTTTTTTCCAGAGGGAAGGTTTCCCAGAAACACAGATTATAGAGGATTACAGATGATAGAAATTAGCTTTCTCATCTATTTATCACAGAGCTACACCCCCCAAAGGTAATTTAGGTCATCTTAGCCTCGAGCATTGGACAGACTTACAGCTCTTCCTCATTAGGAACCACGCCCAGCTGGAAGGAAATAAAACCATTTCACGATTCCAGTGATGGAAACCTGTTTTCCCCCAGTGAGCCTGACGGTTCAGGATGCCCCGCTCTTCATGCTCCGCCCTACTGTGCCCCGCTCTTCTTGCTCCGCCCCACTGTGCCCCGCTCTTCATGCTCCGCCCTACTGTGCCCCGCTCTTCTTGCTCCATCCCACTGTGCCTCGCTCCTCGTGCTCCGCCCCACTGTGCCCCGCTCTTCTTGCTCCGCCCCACTGTGCCTCGCTCTTCTTGCTCCGTCCCGCTGTGCCCCGCTCTTCTTGCTCCGCCCCACTGTGCCTCGCTCTTCTTGCTCCGTCCCGCTGTGCCCCGCTCTTCATGCTCCGCCCTACTGTGCCCCGCTCCTCGTGCTTCGCCCCACTGTGCCCCGCTCTTCTTGCTCCGTCCCACTGTGCCCCGCTCTTCTTGCTCCGCCCCACTGTGACTCGCTCGTCGTGCGCCGCCCCACTGTGCCCCGCTCTTCTTGCTCCGCCCCACTGTGCCCCGCTCTTCTTGCTCCGCCCCACTGTGCCCCGCTCTTCTTGCTCCGCCCCACTGTGCCCCGCTCCTCGTGCTCCGCCCCACTGTGCCCCGCTCTTCTTGCTCTGCCCCACTGTGACTCGCTCGTCGTGCGCCGCCCCACTGTGCCCCGCTCTTCTTGCTCCGCCCCACTGTGCCCTGCTCTTCTTGCTCCAGCCCACTGTGCCCCGCTCTTCTTGCTCCGCCCCCCTGTGCCCCGCTCTTCTTGCTCCACCCCACTGTGCCTCGCTCCTCGTGCTCCACCCCACTGTGCCTCGCTCCTCGTGCTCCGTCCCACTGTGCCTCGCTCCTCGTGCTCCACCCCACTGTGCCCCGCTCTTCTTGCTCCGTCCCACTGTGCCCCGCTCTTCTTTCTCCGCCCCACTGTGCCCCGCTCTTCTTTCTCCGCCCCACTGTGCCCCGCTCTTCTTGCTCTGCCACACTGTGCCCCACTCCTCGTGCTTCGCCCCACTGTGCCCCGCTCTTCTTTCTCCGCCCCACTGTGCCTCGCTCCTCCTGCTTTGTCCCACTGTGCCCCGCTCTTCGTGCTTTGCTATAAAATGGCGCTCTGACCTTTGTCATCGTCCTGTTTCTTCAGGCCCACGGTCTTGGGCCGTCCCCGGCCTCTCCGGATGGGATCCGACTGACTGTTGGCTCGGGGTCGTCGGTGGTTCTCAGAGTCGCTGGTCAAAGGCGAGCCGATCCTTTCTCTGCGAATCCGCTCCGTTCTCCGCCGCTTGAAATCCAGTTTGTCTTAAAGGAAAACAAAAGACCCGTCAGGAGGGGGAAAAGTTTGTGTGAAACTTCAGACCAGGAGCTGCTGGAAGCTGAAGGGTCCATGACAGGAAACATCTGGTTTTTACTGCCGTTCAACTAAAACATGAGATGTTTTAATCTCCTTTGTTGTAAAAGCATGTTCTGCACCGGGTCTGAGGAAGCTCTCAGCTGATTAAACATCATCAAAGCTGCTAATGTGCTCATTCTAGATTTATTCTAGAAGGAAGAGTTCTATGCTGATCTAGAGCTCAGCTTCTAATATCAGCAGATGTTTTTTTTCTTCGTGGATGTTGAGAGCAAAGCCTGAATAATCAGGAAGTGATTCCCTGTTGTTGGTTCAGGAATGCTGCGAGATTCCTGCTTTGTTTCCCAAAGAGCGTGGAAATTCTCCATATTTCCACTCCAGTAAACACGTCTAGCCGTTTAACCAGCTGCAAGGCTTAAGCCTCTGGTGCTCAACTGTTGCCGTGGTTACTAAAGATCATCATTCACTATTTTTGATGAGTTTCAACCTTTGATTGGATTAATTTAAACCACTGATGCTGTTTTACAGCAGCGTCACTAAGAGCATTTCGTTCACAGAAAGCAACGTTTCATCACTTTAAGATGAATGAATGAATAATGAAGGTTGGTTTTTACCTGCGATAGCTGCTGACGTACACTCACTGAGCTTAGCATTCAGGAGCTTCCTGCTGATGAACACGTAGCCACATGGACACGACTTACAGGCCACAGGAATCTGCAGAGAAGATCAACGGTCAGACCAACCTGGAAAGTCTGACCTCATCATGGATCCTGAACACGCACAATCTTCAAAAACCTGTTTCTGGAGTTTAAAGTTCAGTTTACTTTTCACTACTACGGGTAGCAGGCTGCTAACAGCCAGGTTTAGCGCCCCTGAAGGCCACTGTGAAAACTGTACTGTCGGCGACCCGTGGCTCTTTAGCGCCCCCTGTAGCTCTCTGTTTGTTATAAAATGGTGAGCAGGAGGTCAAACATTGTTTTCAATGCTGTAAAATGTGTTTAATAAATACTTTTATAACATTTCTGTCAAGATTTGCATCATAGCCTTCAGCACAGGTTCCGGCGTGGTGTGGCGTGGCGTGGCGCGGCGTAGCATGGCATGGCGTGGAGGATGTAAACAAAGCGATGGGGGTGTCTCAGTCTTGGTGGTCTAGAATACACCACCTCTGGACTACTGACCTAATCAGTTCTGCAGAACTTTGGGACCTGATCTGGTGACCTTCCACCAATTATCAAATCATCATGTAACCATAGAAAATAGATCTTTACTGAAATTTAGAATTATTAGTTATTTTATCAACAAAGGTCAGAGGTTAACTCGCAAAACTTCTCAACAGCTGTAGATAATAGTAACCAGACATTACTGATTTCTGGGGACAGTCCCTGTTTTGGACCACCTGTCCCCGGCTAAAGCTGCCCCTCAAATGTCCCCGAATTATGAATGAGGGGGAAATGCTGCGTGTAGAGTGTTATTACGGTAGAAGGAGCGTGGGAGCATGCTGCACGCTGAAACAGTTATTACGGTAATATTAGGAAAAAATGAGAAGCCGAGCTTTTAAAACAGAGAAAGAACTGGAAGTTCATTCATTATCAGCTGCTGGGGAGCCGCCCTGCCTTATGGCCGCTCTGATAATCCATTCATTTCATCTGAACTTGGCTGATCCATGTTCGGTTAAAGAAAATAAAGGACTTGATGTTTATGCTCTACTAAAGATGAGGAGCGGAAATGTAAATAAACCAAACTCATCAACAAACAGACAGATGCTACATAATTTACTATAGAATATATCGGCTTATTGTTGCAGCCTAATGCTACACAGTTAGCTACTGTGCGTCTCCGTGGGAGTGGGGAGTACCAACATGGTGGACAGTGGCTTCACTTTTTCAGCCAATCAGCAATCCAGTGAATAAACAGAGATCACTGACAGAGACACTGTAGTTCCGTAGAACGCAGACTGACCCGTAGAACCCAGAACCTGTGGTTCCGAAGAACCCAGGCTGACCCGTAGAACCCAGGCTGACCCGTAGAACCCAGACTGACCCGTAGAACCCAGACCCTGTAGTTCCGTAGAACGCAGACTGACCCGTAGAACCCAGAAGCTGTAGTTCTGTAGAACCCAGACTGACCCGTTGAACCCAAAACCTGTGGTTCCATAGAACCCAGACTGACCCGTAGAACCCAGAATCTGTAGTTCCGTAGAACCCAGACTGAGCCGTAGAACCCAGAATCTGTAGTTCCGTAGAACCCAGACTGAGCCGTAGAACCCAGAACCTGTAGTTCCGTAGAACCCAGACTGACCCGTAGAGCCCAGACTGACCAGTAGAACCCAGAACCTGTAGTTCCGTAGAACCCAGACTGAACCATAGAACCTACACTGACCTGTATAACATAGACTGACCCTTAGAACCCAGACTGACCTGTAGAAGCCAGACTGACCCGTAGAACCCAGACTGACCCATAGAACCTAGACTGACCTGTATAACCCAGACTGACCCGTAGAACCCAGACTGACGCATAGAACCTAGACTGACCTGTATAACCCAGACTGACCCCTACAACCCAGACTGACCTGTAGAACCCAGAACCTGTAGTTTCGTAGAACCCAGACTGACCCATAGAACACAGAACCTGTGGTTCCGTAGAACCCATACTTACCCGTAGAACCCAGACTTACCCGTAGAACCCAGACTTACCCGTAGAACCTAGACTGACCTGAATAACCCAGACTGACTCGTAAAACCCAGACTGACCCATAGAACCTAGACTGACCTGAATAACCCAGACTGAGCTGTATAACCCATACTGACTCGTAGAACTCAGACTGACCCATAGAACCCAGACTGACCTGTATAACCCAGACTGACCTGTATAACACATACTGACTCGTAGAACTCAGATTGACCCATAGAACCCAGACTGACCCGTACAACCCAGACTGACCCGTAGAACCCAAAACCTGTAGTTCCGTAGAACCCAGACTGACCTGTATAACCCAGACTGACCTGTAGAAGCAAGACTGACCTGTAGAACCCAGACTGACCCGTAGAACCCAAAACCTGTAGTTCCGTAGAACCCAGACTGACCTGTATAACTCAGACTGACCCGTAGAGCCCAGAACCTGTGGTTCCATAGAACCCAGACTGACCCATAGAACCTAGACTGACTTGTATAACCCAGACTAACCCGTAGAACCCAGACTGACCCGTAGAACCCAAAACCTGTAGTTCCGTAGAACCCAGATTGACCTGTATAACCCAGACTGACCCGTAGAGCCCAGAACCTGTAGTTCCGTAGAACCCAGACTGACCCATAGAACCTACACTGACCTGTATAACATAGACTAACCCTTAGAACCCAGACTGACTACCCAGACTGACCCATAGAACCTAGACTGACCTGTATAACCCAGACTGACCCATAGAACATAGACTGACCTGTAGAACCCAGACTGACCCGTAGAGCCCAGACTGATCCGTAGAGCCCAGAACCTGTAGTTCCGTAGAACCCAGACTGACCCATAGAACCTAGACTGACTTGTATAACCAACACTAACCCATTGAACCCAGTCTGACCTGTAGAAGCCAGAACCTGTGGTTCTGTAGAACCCAGAATGACCCATAGAACCCAGAACCTGTTATTCCGTAGAACCGACACTGACTCGTAGAACCCAGAACCTGTTATTCCGTAGAACCTAGACTGACCTGTAGAACCCAGAACCTGTGGTTCTGTAGAACCCAGACTGACCCGTAGAACCCAGAACATGTAGTTCCATAGAACCCAGACTGACCCATAGAACCCAGAACCTGTAGTTCCGCAGAACCCAGACTGACCCACAGAACCTACACTATGGGTCAGTCTGGGTTATACAGATGAGTCTAGGTTCTATGGGTTATATTTGTAACTGTTTTTTACTGTATGTTTTTAATGTGGACCCCAGGAAGACTAGCTGTTTGCCATGGCAACAGCTAATGGGGATCCTTAATAAAATTACAAATTACACTGACCTGTATAACATAGACTGACCCTTAGAACCCAGACTGACCACCCAGACTGACCTGTAGAACCCAGACTGACCTGTAGAACGTAGACTGGCCTGTAGAATCCAGACTGACCCGTAGAACCCAGACTGACCCATAGAACGTAGACTGACCTGTAGAACCCAGACTGACCCGTAGAACCCAGACTGACCTGCTGGTCGCATTCAGGACAGGACTTGGTTGCCATCTTAACCTTCTTTGTTTTGTGGGCCGACATCATCCACTTCCGCAGAGACCCGAGGAGCTGAGCCGGATTCAGACGTTTCTGAGCAGCGTGGACCGAACCGGACCGAACCGGACCTGATGACCCCACAGAAACGGTTAAACATTCAGAGGAACAACGGCAGCTTGGGATGACAGATCCACTGATTTCAGAACCATGATCGGTTTCTTTATTTCTTTCTTCTTTTGTTTTTTTTAAGGGCGGATGGTAACCATCTCAAGGCGCATTTACCGCCACCTACCGGACTGGAGTGCGGTCATCAGAGGAAGTAAATACCTCAATGGTGTGCTCCAACCTGCACATTTATATCCAAACTCACATAGAAATTAGTTTTGTGTATATGCACAAGCATACACACACTTATTTACATACTTTAAATGCCATTAAATAACCCAGTGTTTAAAAAAAATAGAATTGATTTCTAGCAGAATTAGATTTACTTCCTAAAAGGTTTATTATAGAAAATCCTATTTTTTCTGTATTTAGTATTATTTAGTGTTGACTTTGCTGATGTTTCTGTGAATGTTTATCACATTCTAATAATCCATGTTTCACTGTTTCCATCTGATTACAGGGATTATAATCCCTGCTTCATGCTTCTATATTCTGATAAGAGAACTAGTCCAGTCTGACCAATTCTGAGTGGAGATCTGACTGCCTCTACTTTCCATTCACTACCACCCCCCACAGTCTGCTGAATATTACATAGATCTATACCAGTGTCCTGATTATCCCGTTGTTCCTGCCAAACCTTACAGATTATATTCTGAATTACCCCCACTTTATTTAAAGGAATACTAAAGTTAATATCTGATTTTAAGGCCTGTTTTAGCTGATATATCTACTTCTTTATTTCCTTCTATGCCTACATGAGCAGGAATCCAGATAAACCAAACAAAACATTCATTATGAAGCTAAACTAATAGGTGATATATATTAATACCCTATAATATAATATAGTTTTATATATATATATAAAATTATAAATCTAATGGAGGGCTTCACCGCCATCCACTGGTCAAAACAAGGATTGCCTTCTAAGAGCTGCTTTCCAGACCTGCCAGGAGTTAATCTGTTATTAAAATGAAATAAAGTTGCTGCCTGATTTTAACTCAGCTGGATTATTTTCTTAGTTTCTCTGTTGTCATGTTAAGAACCTGTTGATTTCCTAATATTCCTGCAAATCTCTGAAAGATGATCTTCCATCATTACTCTGCTTCCTCTATCAGTTATTAGGGTTTAGCCGGAATGTTTTTAATCTCCAGAGGAGGGGACAGAGCGCCACCTACTGTGCAACTAACCTAACAATCTCCTCTGGAACCATAGATTCACCCTTAGCACAATGAGGAGTCAGAACTTTTCTTTTAAAAATCTAATTAAACTCAGAATTAAACCTTAAAATATCAGGAAGCTTGTTTGGGAAAAACAAGCTTTCAGTTTATCGAAATGCATTTTTCAAATTTATCCAAATGTTCTTCCTTAAGCTAAGTTCAAAATCCTTTTTTCAATTTGACTTCATTGGAGAGAGAAAACAGCCAGATTGTCTTCAGATTGAAAATAATCTGCTTCTGGATCAAACATCCAGCTTTCATTTGGGTTTTACATCCCAAACCTCCTTTCTAGCCGACCGCTGGGTTTAAACCAACTCTGGTAGAACTCTCTCCAGCTCCTCAGACTTGATGTGGACATTTAGTCTCTAGTCCTAAACCTTGGTAAACTCTGACCTTACTATTCTGAAAATTCATTTAATCCAGATTAGAACCAAAAGTTCCAAACTGGATTACTGGATATTTATGACAATTTTCAGTATAAAAACACGTTTCTAACTTTCGCTCTGAACATGTTGCAGATCGTTACCATTTAGTCTGGCACCACACGGCCAACATGGCGGCGTCCTCAGAAAGCCTCCCTGGATTCTGGGAACCTTGATCTACTCTACCGCTGACTGGGTCATCATGACCTTTGAACCCGGCCTCCTTACAGTCTCTGTATTTCTGGTTGTAACATAACGGTGCTCTGGTTTAAGGAGCTATACCAATTAATAAACCTAAAGTCAGAAATAAAACCGCCTGTCGTCCTGTTGGATCTCAGTGCTGCATTTGATCCAGTTGATCATAATATTCTTTTAGAAAGACTTGAATATTTTGTTGGAATTAAAGGAACAGCACTAGACTGGGTTAAATCTGATCTATCTAATTCAGTTCAGTTTGTTCATCTTAATGACAGATCTTCCTCATGCTCAAAGGTTACCTGTGGAGTACCACAGGGATCAGTGCTAGGACCAATTCTCTTTACTATATATATGCTCCCAATCGGTAGAGTTATTAGACAGCATGGGATTAATTTCCACTGTTATGCTGATGATACCCAGCTATATCTGTCTATAATCCAGATGAAGCTAACCCATTACATAGATTACAGGCATGTCTGAAGACATAAAAACCTGGATGACTCTTAACTTTCTCCTTCTGAATGCAGACAAAACAGAAGTTATAGTCTTTGGACCAGAGTCTTTGAAAAAGAAGCTGATTAGTCAGTCACTTCATTTGGATGGGATTAAACTGATTTCAGATAATAAAGTAAAAAATCTTGGTGTTGTTTTTGATCAGGACCTGTCATTTAAATCCCATATCAAAGAGGTTTCTAGAATTTGAATCAATCTGACTGGATGATCTGGTGACCTGTAAGTGACCTGGGATCACATGTTGTGAATTGGCGAAATAAAGTGATTAGAAATTTAACAGTTTCTTTACATCTAACATTTCCTTTAGTAGATGTTTCCGTTCCGTTTCATTTATCTGGACGGAGGGCAGTAATGGGGAGAGGCCAGAACACACTGATGCATTTCAGGAGTCGGGGAAACTGAACCCTTTCAGAACCTGAACTGCTTCACTCGACCGAGAGCAGAAAGAATCCTTTAAAAATGAAATAGTGCCCTTTAAGTCCCCCTTCATCGGCAACAAGAACCATGCAGCCTTTATTTATAGATTCATTTATTAGCTCACTGGGTGAAAGTCTGCTTACATTTCCAGTTGGGTTCATGTCATGTGAGGCGTTACGCTCTGCTGCTCTAAGTGACTAGAAGTTAAACCCGTCAGGCTGGGTGAGTCCCGCTGCTGCAGGCAGCGCTGCAGGCAGAGGGCGAGCTACAATGCTTTTAGCAGGAAGGACATATTTCTACTCCAGCTGCACCAAACAGAGACATGAGAAACGGTAAATAAAGCGCAGGAAACACGACAACATGAAGAAGTGGCCCAGCCTCCCCCTCCTCCCCCATAGTGAGGTTCCAGGAAGCCGTGGAAAAGTGACGGAGGCCCAGACGGGGCTGCTTCAGAGGACCAGACCCTCATAAGCCGGCCCCTCAGACTCTGGAGACTCCCTCTGCAGGCGAAGATGCTCCAGCGTATTGTTGAAGTGTTTGTTGATCTGTTCCGTTTCTTCACTGGCCTCTAGGTTGGGAAGGTCTTCCCTGATCTTCTGGATCAGCTGGTTTAGAACCTGGAGAGTCACCTGGAAGGAGAGAAAACCTTTAGATCGTTTCTCCACCATCGATTAGAGCTGAACACTAGAAAGTCTTCCCCATAGCTCTGTACCCATCAACTCCCCTCTCTGTACTTCCCTCTCTCTCTGCTGTCACCACTGATCCTGGCTCTGGATTTTCCTTAAGAGAACTTAAGAGTCCTATTGACGATAACTGGAACACTGTCTACTTTATAAGTCCCTGTGGATAAAAGCATCTGCTAAATGCAGAAACATAAACATAGAGAGAAGCTGGAAATGAAAGGTGACATAAAGCCTGAAATGTCTGGCAGGGAAAGAGGAAGAGAGGAATGCAGCGACTCGCCTGTTCAGATGTCAGAAAGATGTTCCTTTTGCTCCTTAAGACACATTCTCATCTTCATACTCTGGATCTTGTGCTGACATTGAATATGAATAAAAAACAGAATTTCCTCACAACCCTATCCTCTCTGACCACTTTCTAATAACCTTCAGGATTACTTTAACAGAGTTCTCCTCCCCCAAAAGAAGGTTACATTTTAGTAGATCTTTATCAGATAGAGCAGTTATACATTTTAAAGAATCCTTTTAACTTTCTCTCTCCTCTGTGTCGCTGAGCAGTGCCGCAGAGTGCAAAAGCTTAGTTCATTCCCATTCACAGGTTGATGATTTTGTTGATGGGGTTGATAGCCCCTTTGAAAATGAAAAATAAAATTCTGGCTCCTTGGTTTAATGCTGTGCATTTTGAAACAAAATGCTAGGAAACTGGAGAGAAAATATCGCTCCACAGGCATACGGGAATCCTACCTACTCTGGAAAAATAGTTTACTGCTGTATAAGAGGACCCTTTGTAAAGCAAGAGCAGCATATTTCTCCTGATTAATAGAGGAGAATAAGAATAATCCTAGATTTCTTTTTAATCCAGTTGCCAAACTCACCCAGAGCCATAGCTCTGTTGAACAGTCCATTCCACCTGCTCTTAGCAGCAATGATTTTATGGGATTATTTATAAATAAGATTGATCATAGCACTGAAACAGCTCTGGTGAAAGTCGATGCAATCAGCTGGTTTTCCTTAGATAGAAAACTTTGAATCAATCTGACTGGATGATCTGGTGAACTGGAAAGTGACCTGAGATGACAGGATGTGAATTGGAGATATAGAAATAAACTGAATTGAAAATGTTCAGATTTCAACTATGGGATTATAAACATTTTTTGGGAGCTGAACCCACCTACAAGGGACTGACCTTTGACCTCAGTATTTTTTGGGCCCTGCGATCAAATGTTGCTTCACTGCAGAAAAAGTTAATGACCTTCATCTGTTTGCTGCAGGAATCATTTATAGGTGATGAGAAGAATCAGAGGTCTCAAAATGCTTCAGCCTGTTCTTCGTCATCATCATCATCATCATCATCATGGTTTGGACCATGGAAGCAGACCGGTTTAAATCTTCATCCAGTCTGCTGCTTTGGTCACAGCCATGGATGCAGGACAGAGAGAGGAGGAAAGCGTTCCTACCGCATCGTTCTCCCGCTCGTAGAAGCAGATGTATCGGTTCAGGATCTCAATGAACAGCTGGACTTGCAGAGAGGAATCCATGCACTGGTTGGCGATCTTCAGGGCCTTCTTCAGACACTCCATCACCCGCTTCCCATCCCGGATCTACAGCACACGGCTCAACATCAGAACAACAGCAGCTCAATG